TTTCAGACTTTTGTTATGCTTTTGGTCCCTGCCACACTCTGGGCAACACAAAACACCAACTAATTTAACACATATCAAAATTATTTTTCTCCACCTTTGAGTTCACTGAGTATTACCTACCCCCACATGAGAAATGCAGCCAATTAATACAGTCTCCATAGCAATGACTTGTACAAAAGCATCCAAGCCCAACAGCAATTTTCAACAATGTAAACCTGTGATTTCTTTATGACATGGAAAATTTCTTTCACCTTTTTATTCCTATGTAGGAGCCAAGAGATAACTTCTACTTGCCTCTTATGATTTTTGTAGGAAAACAGAGCAGGAAAGAGGAACATAAGAAACATGTTCACTCTTGCACTTCTCCAAATGTGGGTGTTGGATGTGTTTGTAACATAACTCGTTGCAGCCGATTGGCACCAAGCCCTGACACGCTCCCTGTCTAATAAAATGTGTTTCTCTTGATACCAAATTCTAATCAGGGCAACTTGCTTGATATATTCTAAATGTAAAATATGTTAAACATCCTAGACATTGAATATGTGAAAAGGATCATTATTCACGGGCACCTAATCAAAGCTTTGTTTCGTGTCATTATCTGTTTGGTTTTACACGATTCCTGCTTGCTTGAGTGAAAATGTCTGGTGTTGGAAATTGTCACATTTCTCTCAGAGAAGCAAGGCAAGGAGCAGTGCTGCATTCAGAAAAGCCTAGGCACAAATACTTGCTTGCTTGTTTGTTTTTTCTTTTGGAGAATTCTGCGCTGTTTGCTAGGTTGTAAATTATTGATTTATTTGGTGATTTACTTTGCAGCAAATTGAAGTCATATGCAAGCTAAATACAGTTTTACTTAAGTTAATTATGATGATGGGAACTATAAAACTTCAGAAATAGACAATTGCATTTACTTGACATGTGCACTATAAACCAAAAGATATCTCTCTTCCACTCCTACTATAGAGTAAATGTAACTTAAACTACATTTATTTCATTAATAGCTGCAACATCTGTGCCTGTAAAAGTTTTTAGGTGCTATGAAAATAATGGCATGGAAATATTTTAGGCTCTCTTGGTTTCCCTGTAGGGAGAGATCACCCCCACAATGATGTGGCCACAGAGAGTCTAAACCAACAAGTGGGGATGGGGACACCATGACCTCCCCACCTTTTTTCACTGAAAGCCAAAGTATAATTAGTATTTTCCATGTGAAACACTCACTGAATTACCTTTCTTTTTCTGTACTTGTTGGGGCCACAGATGTTCCTCAGAAAAACAGATTTGGAAGGTATGAACATCTGGATGGAAGAACTGGAAGCTTGGCATGAACTGGTAACAGCGTGGAGCGTGGGCTGCAGCGCACAGAGGTCTCACCTGAACCTCACTGGAGACACAGGCAGTGCCTGGAGTTTCAGAGAGAAAGGAGTTTGACTTTTGGTATGGATTTTCTGGAAATACAAATACACCACAGCAGGTGTACAACTGTACAAGTGACTGTTGCCAAGTGACTACACACAGAGCAGGATGCAGACAATCTGAAGGGATGTCCAAGTTCTGTCCCAAGGCACAACAGATTTTGGGGTGCTGGCTACCAATTGAGGAATGTAACAGCTCATGTTTAAGCTGACCAGGCAGGATACTTATGGCAGTATAAATCTGAAAATCCCAATCCAGCTGTCTCTACTCTGTCCTGTGAAATCCATGCTGCTGTGGGTGTCCTGCCTGCTCAGATTCCAGGTGCAAACACCTGTACTGTGGAACAAATGATATTCCGAAGCTCTCATCAGGGCATGGAGCAGGAATGGGCTCCTATCAGTGAGAGCCAGAATCCCAGAACACACAGCATCCCCTTCCCACACTGCAGACCAGCCTCACAGGAGAAGTCTGGGTGCCTTGAGAGTCTCTCTCCAGGATTCTGGACTCTCTCTGTGAAACTGAGCACCTGAAAGCCCTGACTGATCTGAAAGGAGATCCACCCAGAGCCCTTGCTTAATGAAATCAGTATTCCAGTCAGCTCCATCACTAGAAAAAGCAGCTGCAGTATGCAGGGAACATATTCTGTTTTCCCAGCTCCATGTGCTAGCATTTTGCAAATGAAATTTTCTCTGACTTTTAGGCTATATGAAATCTTGAAATTAAAATGAAATATAATTGTCAGGGAATGGAAAGTACTACTTTTTGGCCAGCTCTATTTGTACATATAAAACAACCTAGATGTCCCAAAGTGTCTTTCATGCCATCTTGAATTATATCCATTTTTTTTTTTTTATTGAGATCTCCAAAGCCAGCTGCTTAGGGGTTTTCAATGCCCAAAATCCCACTCATTATTTCATTTGACACTCAGATCCCTTGAGCAGCACTGAAAAATTACTAAACCTTAATATCTGAGCGAGACTTCCAAACAACAACTACAATGAAGAAACTGGTCTTGGCACTAAAAACCAATGAATATGTAAGACAAATTGTATCTGGAGAGAGCAAACACATTAAAACAGCCTACCAGTAGCATCTTTCAAAAGATATCTAATGTAAGCTGCATACTCTTCAATAGCTCAAGGGGCTTATAGTCAATAAATTTAACAGGTTGCAAAAAAAAAGTCAAAGCTAAAGTACAGTATGTGAATGGAAGCTGGAGTGCACTCTTCTTTTCAACCTTAGGACAGAGTTAATAAAGGGGAAATGACAAGATACATAAAAAGGAATACACAGGATTTGACAGAGTATGTTTTTTTCTTTTAACTTCAAGGCAAACTACCAGACTATTTTGGTTTACAGATAAATCAAACAAAGAACTTTTATCAGTTTGCATAAAAGTCTCATTTTCAGCACTGGAAAGATTAGGCTTCAGAGCCTTGTTCTGTATGTGTATGAGGGGGATTACAAGGGAAGTGGTGAAAGTAATGACCTTGCCAGGGATTAGCTTCCACAATTGTATGGTAAAATAGTTGTGCTTTCTATGCTTATGGATTAAGATATTCATTGACAGTTTCTGCAAACTAGTGAAATTCACAGATATTTTCAGTAATAGGGTGGTGACAGTAGCAGTATCTGACAGCCTGACATTACCCATGGTGTTGTGATGCTCAGTCCAGGGAACTGGACCCTCAGCCTTGCCAGATTTGTTTGCAGTGGCTCAGTGCTTGTGTGACAAAAAGGGTTTCCTTTTGGAATTCCCTTTATTTTACAGTTGTATGGTTATGCTAAATGCAAATGTATTGGACCCATTTGGTCCTTTTTGCTTTTCAAGAGCGACACCTGACTACTCCCAGCTGACCTAAGAGCACTTAGGGGTGGCCTTTTACTGAGCTACCCCACACACTGACAGCTACACTTGGTTAAGCTGTCAGAAAACTGAAGTACCTGGACCATTCCCACTGAGATTCTCTTTCTTCAATGTTTCTTATTTTTTTTTAAAAAAAAATTATTTTCTGTTTCTAAAAAACTCTTAGGAAGAAGACAGGAACTACACATGTGGGGCAATCAAGACAAGCCCAGTCTCTGCTCTGACTAAATGGTGACTCTTTAGATTGAAAGCTGCTGCTTTGAGGAAGGCAGAGCAGAAAATGCTGTGCAGGTTCTTGAAGCCCAAACCAATATATCAGTACAGCAAACAACAGGCAGAAAGCCCCTCTGAGCAGCTCAATGTTTCTGAAGACTCTCCAGCTAGCCTAATCTTCCCAAGGAAGTTGAAAATAAATTCACCAGAAATGACCAGCTACTTGTCTCTGTGCCTATAAAATGTAAAACATTTTCTGTTTGTCCTGATTCTATCATTTAACTTTGCATATATATTGGAACCTATTTATCAGGCAGGATAGTGAAAGAAGAGGTTCACTTTGTTTACTTACTCACAGTAATCTCTATGGTAAAATAACTGCATGGAGGAGTAAAGACAATTTTGTTCATGAGAGAAACATTCCCATGAGGGACAGCACAGCATAAACTTGGTAAGTTTGCCTCAAGCAGTCCCAGCTCACTGTGGTTGGGTTCTCCATACATAGCGAAGCACAGTCTTATGGCAAAGAAATGAAGGCTTATACCAGCCTACACATATTTTCTTGCACTAGCAGAATTATTTAATATAAAATTATGTTCAGCAGAGAAAGATTTCAAAGTCCTAGTCTCTGACTACCTAAATCATTTCTCCTACAAATGCAACATGTCAAGATTTTTCTTGGATAATATTGTCTGTCAAGTCTGTTAAGCTGGGTGAAATAGTGCCTGGGCTTCTGCTCTTATTTCATGACAATGGAAAGTGAGATAAGCAGAGGGAAAAAAGAACTGGACCTGGGTGGAGGTTTTTTGGAAGTATAGCACAAAAATAGTTTTAGATAGGTCCATGTAAGGTAGACACCAAAAGTGATGATTAAGTCTTCATAATCATAGTGATGGGTATTTGTAGTCCCAGTGTGCAATCTCATGGATTATCCCTGGACAGCAGAGTGTCCCTGCAGTGTAACAGGGGTGTAGCCAAACTTTATGTAAAGCAGTCACACTGGCAATGGCAGCAGTCTGCCTTCAGAAGCACAGAGCACACAGTTCAAGCTGTAAAATTCATTCAGAAAACTGGAAAAAAACCAAGGAGGTTAACCTCTGCTGAACTCAGTGTTGCTTGAAATGGTTTAAAAATGAGGCTCTGTTTGCCCAGAAGTTTTGTAGTGGTTGAGAGACAAAAACTCTGAGCTTCAGCTTGGACTGTGCATGCCAATAATTGGCAAAAAATGAGATGTCTAGCCCTGGTCAAGGGAGAGGTTCTGGGACTTGCACAGGGGATGAATGATGAGCTCTCAATATGGAAGTGTTGGGAACTAATCACCCAGGGAACATCACAGACTAATCAGAAAGTCCAATAGAAATAGACATCTTTCAATGAACATAAAACAATTCCTTTCATGCAGCTGAGCTGAGAAATCTTTATCTCATGTAGGTAATGAAAAATACACATCCACTGTGATAGATGTAGTTCTGCATATAGTTAGAAATTCACTTTTTCTTATAATTACCTTTTCTGTCTGTTCATTCTTCATTTCTTTAACGTAGTCATCCAGTGGACATTTTCATGAAGACAACCTTAAGAGCAGAGATCTCACTGTTTTCTAAAGAGAAAACAAAAAGCTTTTAAGTGCTATATTTACCATACTAAATCCCCAGGTGGTTACATCCACAACCTAATTGCACTGGCTGATTTTAGCAGGCAAAAGCAAAAGGCAAAGATACTCTGTATATCCACAAATTGGGAAATAGATAGGAGGATGCTGTGCTTCCAGAAGGCATTATAAAAGGGGGAAAGATTAAATGCTTTTTCTTTTCTTTTCTGATATTTAAAAGACATAGAGGAAACACTTCTTTTTCTTTTAGTGCACTTTTACCAAGGGGTTTTTCTTCCAATGGTTTTGGATCTGTGAGAGCTGCTTTTAAAATCATGGTGACAATTTCATATTCTAGAAGGAATCTGAACATGTTATCACATGTTCCAAAATATATCAACTTGCATATTACTTAACATTAAATTAAACCTGTCACATTACACTTGTAAAGCAAGAAATTTTAAAAACTCTGCATTCTTTTATATGAACTCTTTTACTTATCTAATCTATCTAATTCAGTAAATAAACACTGCTTAATATATGGTCATAATAGTTTCTTTATGCCATACCAATCACAATTTCTAATTATAGTTGGGCAAACAGCATTTGAAGTACATGCAATCTGTCTTTGTTTTTTCTGACCTTTCCCTTTCAGTGACCTAAAAAAAAAGTCAATTATTAAACCAAATTATTTAAAAGGTAGTATTCAGTTAGACAGAAAACTACCTCTCAGACAAATGGTATCATATATAGTAAGCCAGATTAGATGGAGACAGGATATTTAAAACGAGGTAATAAAAATCATTTTAGAATCAATAAGGTCAGGAAAGACCTCCTAGATCATTGAGTTCATTGAATTTTTATCTTTCTGAAGAAATATATAAATGTTAAGTTAATGGCAGAAGTACAAACAAACTTGCCTTGTCTTTTCTTATAAAGTGGATTCCAGTGTCTGTAAACATAAATTCAGAGCATGAGCTCAATTCCAGTGGCCAGAGCAGCAGCAGTGATGAGCTACAGGAAGACAAAGCTGCCAACGTAGGCAGAGTCCCACTTTGGTGGGGAATTCTGAGCAGTCTCTTGAGCTATTTATGCATCTGACATCTGAGAAAAGTACTGGAACAAACCTCCTGCCTCCCAAGCCCATCACCAACATGACAGCCTGGCCAGACCCTGAGCAAGCAGCAATTGCTTGAAGGGCTGTAGCACACAGCTGCCCCCTCACTGAGGGCCCAAGACAAGCATTTTTATCTCCTGGAGCCCAAAGGTGTTCAGCACGATGGCACGGAGACGGCTTTACAGGTGAGCACTGTCTCACAAGTGACTGGATCCAGACCTGCTCTCAGTGAGCTGCCCACAGGGCTGTAAGTCTGCGTCACCCTCTCTCCATCAAACCCACACACACTGAGGAGGCCAGAAAATCCACTCAGCCTAGGAAGCTTGTCTCATCAGCCCACAAGAATTTAAGTTCTGCAGGTCAAATCTTTATTCTAAATTGGCTTAAAGTACCTTTGAAAGTATAAAATTATGAGAGAGCTCAGCATCATCATTACCATTAGCAGCCACCCCTGAAAATGCTCCAGAAACGATGCCGAGTGTTCCCTGGAAGGAAGTCAGAGAGATATTGCAATTACCAACTATGTTATATCATTTAAGTATATATTTAGCTTAATTGTGGTAAAACTTGATAGTATTCTGTTGATTTCATAATTACTAGAAAAACTGCAAAATAAAACACATGTCTAGGGGGACTGGGAATTTGATGTGGTTTATAATCAACAACATTGTTCACAATGACAGATCTGAGTATACAGAAATTATTTCACATTGCAGCACTGGTGCTAACACTTGCTTTTCCACTTGCTTTTCATTACCATTGCAAAGCAGTTTTCCTAGACAGTGCTTATTTTAGTCATGGCAGAAACTAATGAATTTTTCAGACTTGTGTCTGGGTTTTATTATACTCCTATACAATCTTTTATTATACTCCTACAAAATCCGGTTTTTATGTATTGTACTATCAAAGAGTGGGCTGAGTATGCCCTTACTTCCCTCTGAATCTTTTTTACAACTTTATAATTCAGAAATTTAAACTTCTCTTGACCCATTATGAACCACTCACCCCCGAGTCTGACCTTTCTTCTCCCTCTGGGTCATTGTGAAAATTATTGGAACTCCAGGGGCACCCAAAGCATCTATTCTTTGGCCCTGTTGTACTAAACAATGTAAAAACAAGGCTGTAAACAGTCCCACTCTCAAGAGCCTGCAGCCTGGCATGTTTACAGGACAGATTTTAGCAAAGTAAAGAAATGGCTGAGCTAATTCCTTTTAAGCTAACATTGGTATCTCTAGTCTGTACTAGAATGTAAGCACAATCTATGTTGGTAAAACAAAGGAGCTAAGTAAGTGATGGGAAAAGGGAAACTCATAATTCCTCCCTGCACACAGCTGACATGAGCATGGGTATTCACAGTAAGAGACCTAGCAAAGACCAGGGATTTTGTGTGAGCAGCTGTCAGTTTGAACATCATTTTACCCTTTCTCAAAATTTGTCCTTTGAACAGACATGAACACCACTGGGGTGATTCCCAGCCCTGTTAGACCAGAGCTGCTGGGGAGCCTCTCCATGAGGTGAATCCTGTGGCTGCCCTGGTGCACAGGGAGGAATCCAGCATGTATTGATTGGCTTTGTGCTGTTGTGTAGAGGAATCTAAAGACATACAGAAATGCGAGAGGGAAACTGGTTGGTTGATACAGCCAGGCTCCTGCAGCCAACAGACTCTAAACCCTACTCCCTATTTCTTCTGCTGCTTTCACTCAGTTCATTTTGCTCCATGGATCGATTTCCTTATTGGAAAAAAGACTCAGAAAGGTCCTTCTTACCTCTGTCTTCCTGTTGTACCCTGCAGGGTCTGTGGAGGGAACGATATTGTGGATGTGAAATGTGTGATTGCTTTTGTGGACACAGGGGTCTCCTGTTACTGATTAGGTGGAGCCAGCTCTTCCCCTACATCATGAATGCTGAGCAGGCAGATCCCAACACAAAAGTTGCCTGATATGAAGCTGTGGAGAGGGCAGACTTAAGAGAAATACTTTCTGTATGCTCTAAATTTGCTTTTTCTCCCTTGTAGAGATAAGGCTTGATTGAGCACCACTTAATGTAGAGCAGAAGAAGGAAAGATATTGTAGAAAGGTAGACATTGTGGTGAAGAAGAACTCTAGAAAATTAAGTGCAATTGAAACAGTAAGAACAGTAGAAAATCAAGACTTTCACATGAGTTAAACAATGGGGTTTTTCCCTCTTATCATCTGTTGCTTCAGACAAGTACTCCTTACCTACTCCATGCTCCTCTCACAGCCTCACACATCCAAGGTCCTGGCTGGCTTTTTTAGTAACACTACAATAGGAGCAATGGAAAGGCAATAATGCTGGTATTTGATGTTGCAAACAGCAAATTCAGTTAAAGCATTTATTAAACTTGAGGGTGGATAGCCCTCCCAACTGAGAGCCCCCCAGTGATTGTTTGAGACATGGCCTGTGTATTTCAGAATACCAGAGGAAAAGCCAGCCATGGGAGTAGTTCCCTGGTGAAAGATGGCCACTGCTATAATTGATCCAGATCTGCTTCAGAGCAGGTTTAGATTTCCAGCAGTGCTCCTGATCACTCCAAACAGACAGGGATGTAGCTGAGGAGCACAGTGAGATTCACCAGCTGTAGCTTCAGGTTGAAATCTGCCAAATACCTAATAAACATGCATAAACCTACTGTGCAGCTTGTGCAAGCTCTGGGGAGAAGAGCAGAAATCATGTGGAGAAGGACATAAAGGAACATCAAGCAACCCCATAAGAAGCCAAATTTTACTTTCAGTGTTTGTGGCAGTGATCTTCATGTGAAGATCAGTGTTGCACTAATTCACTAATTCATCATTCATAAAGAATGATGAGCACCTTACTACAGGCTAAGGTAATGTAACAACACAGACAACATTGCAGACCTCAGCTAATTTCAAATTATATAAAAATGTTGTCATCTACATGCTTTAAAATCATACTTCAAGCAGCTTAATAGAAAATTATAGCCTGCTTTTTAGAAGCATAACCTATAATTTATTTTTCATTAACTGCTCAAGTTCAATTTTGATACTGTAAAGCTAAATGCATTTTTTAAGCTTTTACTTTCATCAATCATTGGATTTCTTTTTCTGACACGTGGCATATCTTATTCAATGGTATTGGCTGTTCTGTTTTTAAATAATATTCTGTTTTGTAGAATACCAGGAGGATTGTATTTAGACATCTTTAAAAAATGTAGTGACAGCAATTTCAATCAAAAACTGAGAGAAAAAAATACAATGAATAACAGCAACTGAAATAAGTTAGAAACAAGGAAGGAAAAAGCAGTATTGGAATACTTTGGTTTCATTCCTACTGAAGTTTGTGATGTTGTGGAAGACTTATGAGAGCCTTGTATACAAGTTAATACTGCAGTAGATCGCCATTGCCATCTCCTGGTAAATAAACCATATAACTGTATTCTAGATATTTTTCTAAACAGTCATATATTGTACAACTGTTGAGAGATTACACCATAAATAGGCAATAAAGGATTTAGGGTATTTATTGTGAGACTATCATTGCATTTTTATTCTTTGCTCACGTAAGACCTTTATAAAGAACTGCATTACAGTTGATAAATGGTGGTAGTTGTTCCAATGCACTCTTTATGCTGAAAAGAAATACTGCTAGTTATGACTCTGTAAATTAAGGTGAGACAATGGGTTTTGTTGTGATTGAAACAAATAGCAGAGCTGCTTAAGGAAAACTTCCCACAACCAAAACAAATATCCACTCAAAGAGGAGGTGTTGGTCCCCAGTGCGCTGGGATAGAACTGTGACACAGCAGCTAACAAAAAAATGTTCGCCAGCACCAAGCCATGGCACCCAGAGACAGCAGGGACAACAGCGAGCTGTCATTTCACTTTCTGGTATTTCTAATCCTTTTATTTTCTTACCTCTGTCATCATCCTTCCTGCTGTCCTTTCCCATTGTGTCACTGTCATATTTTCTGAAAAATCCCTTCAGCAGGATGTCTTCTTCCTGGGAAGCTGTGAAGCCTCAGAGAAAAATGAAAACAATAGTTATCTGATTCATTTCTCCTGTGTTTTGCTGCTTTGGAATGTGGATTGGAGATTGTTTATCCAACAGGTGCATGTTTGATTGGTTTCATGTGATTTGCTTTTACGTAATGACCAATCACAGCCAGCTGTGTCAGGACTCTGGAGACAGTCACAGGTTTTTCCTTAGTATCTTGTTAAGCCTTCTGTAAGTATCCTTACTCTATTCTTTAGTATAGCTCTAGTATAGCATTCTTTAATGTAATATAATATCATAAAATAATAAATTAGCCTTCTAAGAACATGGAGTCAGATTCATAATTTCCTTCCTGCCACGGGGTACCCCAAAATACCACACCATTGCACTCCCTGTCTGCCACAGCCGCTGGTTGCATGTGTCTGTGCAGGTCCCTGTGTTTGTCCTCCTGACACAGCACATCCTGTCCTGCAGAAAGGGGAGCAGCAGGAGCAGCCCCTGCCAGCAGAGCTCTGTGTGTCACACCAGAGCCAGCAGGCTCTCACCTTCTCCATCACATGGGGAAGGAGAATGAGATGTGTGTACAACTCATTACCCTTCGGAGCAGAGAGCAGCGCTCGATGTGATGCTGAGCCTTGATAAATCATCCTTTCAATCAAATCAGTAAACAGAGGGAAATGCTGTCTAACTGGCAATAAATTTCAGGCAAGTTCAGCAAGGAGTGACAGATCAGTCAAAAGGCTGTGCCTGGCTCTGTTTGTGTATTGCTTTTGCATTGCTTCTTTCTGCATCAGGGAAAGTGAATTCCCTCCCTTGGAGCTGCGTTGGCTGCCAGCATTGCCAATTAATGTGACAGGGAACAACCCCTGCAACAAGTGTCTGCTTTTTGCCATGCAAGCAAAAGAAATGTTTGCAGTATTCAGGAAGAAACTAGGGCTGAAGGCTTTCTGCCTACACCTTCTGAATCCAGAGCTGCATCATGAAAAGCATCTGCTTAAGAGCAGCCTTTGCAGCAGTGACAATTCAATTTGAATCTTCCAGCTCAGCACTCACACAGCCAGGACTGTGGTGATGGGGTCAGTCACAAACACTGGGAAAAAGGAGGACAAATGCAGGCAAGTGCAATGGCATTTTAGAGCTGCCATAGTGTCAGAAGGAGTAAAGATTAACTGCAGCTCAGCAAGAGCTGTGGAAAGTTGCTGGCTGTGGCTATTTGGAAGGAAAAGAGCTTTGGAACAAAAGTGAGAACAGTGTCTTGAGGGACTTCTATTTCTCATCAAACCATTTCCCTCATGAGGGGACACAGAGCTGGTCTTGGACTCACAAAGGCATTTAGAAACCAGAGTCTATGGCAGGTTACACTTAATGATCATAATAGCTATTAAAGCCAAAAGGGACCGGAAAACACAAGCTTAATTATTTGACTTTCCCAAGGGATCCAGAATCAACACACAACACTAATAGTATCTCCAGTCATTGTTATTAGATTATGCCTAGAAACTTTTCCCTGAAGCAACACTGTAATTATGTATTT